GTTTGAGTTTCTACGTGTGCCATTTGGTCTAAGAAACGCAATACAGTCTTTTGAAAGATTTATCGACCATGTATTGCAAGGTTTGCATTTTGTCTGTGCCTAAAGTGGCGGCTATTTCTGACTTTCCCGTGCCAGATATCATGAGAAAGTTTCGACAGTCTTTAGGGATGTTGAATTTTTTCGAAGGTTCCTGTCAAATTGTGCGCAGGTCATAAAATCTTTGACAGATGTTTTAACTGGTGTAAAAAATTGTGAAATAATTTTGTCTGACCCTGCCTTAGCAGCCTTCCATCAATTTAAGGTTTTATTGTCCCGAGCAATTGAATTGTCACATGTTGTTCCAGGTGGCGAGTTGTGTTTGGCAGTTGACGACTCTTCGATTGGTGTAGGTGCAGTACTGCAGCAGAAAATTGATGACCGCCGGAAACCAATTTCCTTCTTTTCCAAGAAACTAACTTCTACAGAATCCAGATACAGTACTTTTGGGCGTGAACTTCTCGCAGTTTTATTCAGCCGCCCGTTACTTTCGACATTTGTTGGAAGGGCGGACTTTCTACTTACTGACAGACCACAAGCCCTTGGGGATTTTTCAGTCACTCCGACAAGTATTACCCACGTGAAGTCAGACACTTGGATTATCTGTTACAATTCACTTCAGATATCCGTTTCAACGAGAGAAACAACAACATACCTGCAGACACTATGTCTCGTGGCATCAATGCTTTTGTGCTGGACCCGTGCTTGGAACATCAATTATTTGTGGAAGCACAGGAAAAGGATTAGCAAATACAGCATCTGCTACGAGAGAACCACACATCCTTGACATTGTTGAGAATACATGTTCCAAACACAGAATTGGAAGTTGTATGTGACACCATCACCGGACGATTACGCCCTTTCGTGCCTGAGTCAATGCGGAAGACGTTATTCTCCTCCATGCATAATTTGTACCACCCAGGGGCTAATGCCCCAAAGCAGCTAATCACAGATAGATTTGTTTGGCCACGCATGAAAACTGACATTCGGCAATGGTCAAAAACCATGTGTGCCGTGTCAAATGGCCAAACTGGGGAGACATACCCGCTCACCTCCTGGATCCTTTCCATCACCCGACGAGCGGTTTGCACATGTGCACGTGGACATCACAGGACCACTCCCCTCATGTGAGGGACATGTGTTGATCGTTTCTCCCGCTCTTCCCATGTCGGACATTACTGCACATACCACAGCAAATACTTTTGTTTCAGGGTGGGTGTCTCGTTTTGGGGTCCCTGCAGTAATTACTACCCTCAGAGGGCGACAATTTGAGTCAGACCTGTTCAACCAGCTGATGAGGATCTTGGAGAGTAAAAGAATCAAAACCACCGCTTATCATCCTGAGGCAAATGACTTACTGGAACGATTTCATCGTACACTCAAGTCAGCCTTAAGGGCCATGACAGATCAGGCAAATTGGTTGGAGCATCTACTGTTGGTTCTTCTGGGACTCCGCACTGCAGTTAAAGACGATCTTAAATGCTCATCTGCTGAGATAGTGTGTGTTTTTGAACATGACCTCGTTCGTTGATCGGCTTACTGCGAGATTGGGGAATTAGCATATAAATCTTCTGCACAGGTTCAAAGGCCGATATATGTGCCTAAACTCCTGCAGACATGCACACATGTTTTTGTGCAGGACTTGGCTAAGTCCCATACATTGCAACCAACCTACAGAGGACCTTTCAAAGTCCTTGAGAGACATTCAAAATATTTTATGGTAAGCATTAACAATGCAACACAACATTACTATGGACAGATTAAACCTGCTTTTTTGATCACTACCTGACTCAGCATGGATGCTCCAGTGATTTCTCCGTCACCGGTAGCGCCGGAGAGAGTAAAAAGACTGTGACCAGATCAGGTCGTCGTGTTAGATCGCCCAAACATTTATTGACATAATTCTTTTTCAGGTTTTGGTTTCAGCAGAACCATTACCGGAGGATATTTCTTTCTCCTAATCGAGCTCCTTTTTCATTCGATTACAAAAGCATTTTTCTTTAAATTTGTAATACACGTTGTGCAGGTTAATGAACCTGTCTAGGGAGAGCGTACTTGTAGGGAGACCACATTTGTTTTCCCTTGGATTGAGCTCATGGGAGTTCAGCTCCTTTAGAGAGAAGAACTCTTCTTTCCCTCTTTTCTTTTTGCTTCCGTTTTTTTTTTTTTTTTTGCGGAACGGTCTTTACCTTCCTGACCACCAGGACGTCCACACACGTTGAAACTGGACACGCTAAAGTGGAGAAAAAAAAGCAATTTTGATTCACCTAGCTACAGGAGGTCAAAGGCCATAAGGCTGGTATGTTATTTCTTTGTTCTCGTTCTGTAAACATTCTCGTCCCTTGTACGATATGAATAATCATTTGTTTTGGGACATATGTAAATCTTTTTAATATATGTATGTAAGTTGTTTGCCTTATTAAATGCTTTGTTTGTTACGGGCGCGTATCTCGTCTTTCTATATTCGCATTCAGTGTTAGTGTATCAATGGCTACGCTAATGCTAATATTAGTACCCGGTATACTACTGGAAGGCTAAAAAGCATTATTCTTCCTAACACTAAACAGCCGGTAAACTATGGCTGGCTGATGAATTATACTAATGATTTTATCTTTTTTTTATTTTTATAAATGCAATATTGAATGTTATATCAAGTAAAAGAAACAGTAACATTTATTTCCAGGTATTTCAGAGTTAATAAATAAAAATTTACTATTGCTATCAGTTCGATTCTCATTAAAATTACCCCTTATCTGTGGCCTTGTGCCAGACTAAGGTTAGTAATGATTACGTGTGTGCAGCCCTGTGGAGCTGAGAGCTCTACTTACGAAACTCGTCTCGTGGTGACTTTCAATTTTACTGATTATTCCCCGTTTTCTCAAGTGAAATGAAGCTAAAACGTCTGTTAATGAAACGACTACCGTAGAACAGGTGTTAACAAGCTTGTCATAGAATGTTTTTGCAATGAGAGTAAGATCACAAGCTGTCCCGACACTGAAGGTTTTTTGTGCAAGGATAAAATAAAAATATCAATGTATTTTTTGTTACTAATAAATCTAGCCGAATAATTAGGGTGGTTTTGGAAACAAATATCGTGAGAAAAAGTTCAAATAGGGTGTGATGTGGTTTTTAGGCACAACAAATTCTTTAAGGAGGCGGGGTGGAGTAATGGATAGCGACTAGGATTGAGGAATTGGAGAGCCTAGTTCGAATTCCAGTCGAATCTATTACGGTCACTTAATACCCTTGGGAAAGGTATGAATCCTCCTCCTCTTCTTCTTCTTCACCTAGCTATAGGTAATTAGCAGGACAGATCAGATTCTATAGCCTTGGATGGTAACTGGTCTACCGTAGAAAGAAATAGTAACCTACTGAGGGAAAAAAATCTGCCTCGTCAGTCATGCACGATCGCTTGGGGTCATAAGAATTAATAATATCACTATAATAATGATAATAATAAATCGTTTAAAAAGAATTCAATGTATATAAATAATGCAGAGTAATAAAAAACAAACAAAATAAAAACAAAAAAAAATATTTCGTCCCCGGAAATAGTGTGAAACTCTTGGTCTTGACTCTATACATCTGAATGCAATGAAGTAGCTCAGCCTGTTTCGTATGAAGAAAGAGATTTTCTCTTCCATCATATGAAAAGGTGAAAATAATATTTGCAATGTTTTACATTCATAAAGTTAAAGTATGTTTGAGCTTCAGTAAAAAAGAAAAATCGAACTATGGTCAGATTGTATTGCGCCAGTTAAGGTTTGTCTGTCTTGAAAATTAGCTTCCGAAATTCTGAATTTTACTTGGGCTCAAACTCCGCCCACTAGTGCTGGTGGGAAAACCAAATAAACAAGCGACAAAGTTATGTCATCATTGGTCATCCGTACTTGGGGAAAAAAAAAAAAAAAGAAAAAAAAAGATCTCTATTCCTTTCGTTCTGTCTCTGTGTTCATTCAACGCAATGCGCGCTTTCGATTCGTGAACCTATTTGGTTATGCATTTTCTTTTGAACAGATCGCTTGGCATCTCCACCACGTTTGTTCCCTTTCTACTGTTTTTCTTTGTTGTTCCTCTCTAGACAGATAAAATATGACTTTTCCGAAGCGACCAAGAGACCTTTCTATTAATAATGATAGCAGGAATACAAGGCTGTAGTCGACAAAAAAAACAGCGTTGAATCTGCTTCGTACAATAACACTATCAATATAAAAGTAACGAGACCCGGATAATAAGGACTCGCTCGCTGCTTGGTGCTCTGAAAAAAATGTATAAAGTTGTTGGCAAGAAGAAAAAATCGACTCGTTCATCACCCTTCTTCACCCGCCAGCATAGAGGAATACCTTTATTATTTCAGTGATGATGCCGACAATACTGAAGAAAATAAATCTCACGGTGTCATCGCAACAACCACTACCAATAAAAATGGTGCCTCATCTTCTGATAGTCGGGGTTTCCGAATTGAAAAGTTGGTAGATGCAGAGTTGAACAAGGAAGATTTATTGGATTATAATAACCGTTGAAGCGAAAATAACAATGAAATCGATAACGGAAAGGGAAAGACAGAATATTTAGTCGTCAAAAGAGAAATGCCCTCAGATAAAGAGAACGGTGATGAAGAGAGAAAAACGCAACCTTCGTTTATAGAAAATCTGATGAATAACGAAATGGAAGAAAAAGATGATAGAGAAAACGAACTACTCGTTGAACGAGATGAAAACACTGGTCTTGAAAAGGTTGTCAACAACGAAGATGTTGGTAGCAATCAAAAAACTGACCACTCTGTAAAAATGACCTCCTATTTTGTTTGTCTTGTACTGGCCAGTACTTGTGGCTTTTTGGTCACGGGTTACCAAATGGCCGTCGTGTCAGGTCTTCTTTTGCTAAACACAGACATTCCAGTTACACGTTTCTGGAGACAAACCTTAGTCGGAATAACCAGTGCCATGGCTTTGGCTATAACTATGACCTGTGGTCAGCTGTGTGATAAGATCGGCCGGAGGTACATGGTCATTCTATCCACTGTTATCGCTATAATAGCCTCATCTATAGAAACTTCGGGTCTCTACCATAATCTACCTGGACGGATTTTAGCTGGAATGTCAATAGGTAAATAATATTTTTATTTTAAAATTTAGTGTTTTACATTTAATTAATAATCGGCATGAAATTAAAAAAAAAAAAAAAAAGGTGACGTGTGTACGTGTTTTCGAAAATGAATGGCCCATTAAATTGTACTTCGTCCCCTTCCTTGTTTTTTTTTTTTTGATGAACATGAAAGATTGTTTTTTAATGTATTTTTCTCTTATTTTTTCCTTTCATAACTCTTTATGATGGTGCTGCATAGGTTTCCGTTTTTCGCTTCTAGAATTCGTTATTCATAATTACATCACCCGGGATTTCAGGAAGGTAACAAGGTTTTATCTTTTTTTTTTTTTTTTTTACTACTTTATTTGAACATTCTTTTCATCTCTCAACGAATATGTCGCTAAAAAATCGAATTCTCTTCACGTCGCTTACGGGAAACTACAGATAAAAAATATTTTTTAAGTTTGCCTTAATTCCCCCTCCCTCGTAATGCCCTAAAAAGTACACCCCGAACCTTTTGACTTCCAAATATACTATTGGAGAGGGGGGGGGGATAACAAACTTTAGTTTACAATACATTGTAAATTCCATTTAGCATTTTTCCATTAGCATTTTTTAAAACTTTTTGTCAGTGAACGAAAACCTAAATCTGCGCCGCAAATATTAAAATTTCCTCTCTTCTCGGCATTAATTTTTTTATTTCTTACGTAATAATACCATCTTCTTTTTCACATAATAAATCATAGTCTGTGACTAAATCGAATCTACCAATTGAATGAGTAGCTAAAAAAGTAAATGCTAACAAACACGAATACTACAGATTTACTACTAACGACTAATAATCCATACTATTTCTGATTCAAGTTCTCTAGACACATCCGAAAGTTAAATTATCACTCGAATTGTCCAACTAAAACTTTATCAGGAAATTCGGGTGGTAATTAAAGTCGATTTGGTCAACACATTTGGAAATATACATTACGCTCTTTATTTATTCATAAAAAAAAAAAAAAATCTTCCAGGAAAACTTTTTTTAAATAAAAATATGAAATGAAATAAAATAAAAATGAGAAACAGAAATATCGCTGTTAGTGTTAGTTCACCTTGTTTAGCAAACGGTTACAGACCGCGTTCAGTGAGGATCGAACTCGAAAGAAAAGCAAATGTAAAGGCGCTTCGATATGAATGGTTTAGCAAACCTGTCTCGCGAGATTAATTTTGTAGCGAGTTCGAGCCTCACACTCGGCTCTGTGCCACATCTCAGCTACGCTTAGTAAATCACCCAAAGAGACAACCAATTCCTCCTCCTATCTCTCGAGGTGCCCAACTGGGAAAAGTTCTTGAGGAAAGAAAACAAAGGTTTTTTTTTTTTGTTCATTAAGAAAAACAATGTACATTTTTTTTACTTTTCAAACTAACACTTAAATTTGTGTGCCCCTGTTTCATAGGAAAAAAAGTCGTTTTGAAATTCCTTTAAAATTAACGGATTACTTTACTTTTTAATTCCTTTTAGTTTTAAAGTTTTATATCTCAAGTTTTCCGATACACACTGAAAGAAAGTGTTACTGAGTTAAGTGAAGTAGTAAATATTTTTTTATTGGAAGAAAGAAAAGTATCAATTTAAATTTTAATACGATTTTATTTATTTTTTAGCCAATAGTGAAAAAAAGAAAAAAAACTGCAGATAAATCGAACACGCACACAATTCTTAATTTATCTAATTATTAAATTAATAAAAGATAGATAGCATTATTTTTTAGGTTTATCCGTTTTATTTTTGATGGGCCAAGTTCTCAAGTAAATAAATTTTATTTACTTGGCCCATCCATTTGCTTTCTGTGTAATTTTCTTTCGAAACTTGTCTTTTTCCGAAATCATTAAAAACTAAAGAGAAAAAATATGCATACGAATTAATTTCAAATGTGAGCCATGAAATAACTTCATTCATTGTTTACTGACACGTAACGCGAAATTTTTCATGTAATTTTTGTGAAAAACAGAATTTCACTCAACAGTGAACATATAAAATAAGTGATTTTTATTTTAAATGTTACAACTTTATATATTGTGTATAAAAACAAAGGAAAGAAAAATATGCTGTATAGGCTTCCATACTTGCTGTGGGCGGAACGCAAACCATCTACATTTTTAAATAACTTAATTACTTTTCTAATTTCTTGATCAGTTAATTTACAAGTTTTGTGGGATACAAAATAATTGTGTGAATGGAAGGGCAATTTAAACTTTTTGATATTAAAATCTTTTTTTTTTTTTTCTCTAATTGAAGATGATTCATTTAAGAAAAAAAATTAAGTTTTAAAAATTAAAGAGTAAAAAAGTAAACTGTTAACTGAGTGGAAACGCTGCTTGTCTGTTAATTTAGCATCATGCGGTCATGCTTTCCTTTTGTGTGTGTGTGTGGGGAGTCGATTGTTTTAAATTTACAAAAATTGAAAAAAATAATCGCCGAAACTCCTTTCTTTAATGAAGAACTTTGATTTCGTTGCGATCCGGTATTTTGTGTGACGAGGGACATGCATTAACCCTTCACCGCCCTTTCGAACCAAATCAGCCACGTGCTTAGTCAATTTGATTTCAAATTTGAGAAAAACAGCATGGACTGATTGTTTTATTAATTAAGCTAATTTGCTTTTTAAGCACGGGGCTTAAAAAGCAAATTACCGGTTTTATTTAACACTTTAAGGATCGAAATTCTTTTCGACTCTATTCGATGCAATCAAAATTACAATTTTACCAAGTTATAATTGCTGACTAACTAACGTCGATGCCGTTGCTATGAGAATGGATTTGAAGCAATTAAAAATTGTTCTTGAATAATTAATAAGTTTACTTTGGATGAAGAAAAACGGACCCTAAATATTTTTAGGAATGTCTAGGTACCATCAACTAAAAATATGGATGCTCTCTTTCCGAAATGAACGCAAAAAAAATCGCTGTTTTATTTGCCAAAAGTCAATAAAACTCAAATATTTTTTTCTTATAGTTGGTGCTTATGTAATTTAATAAATTAATTAAAATATTATTTTCATTCAGATTGGACAGAGAAAAAAAACTACACCCAATATTTACTTTTCTAAAACGTTACCTGCGAAATTCATCCCGTTGCTGTTTGTCAGGTGTTTTTTTTTTTTTTTTTTTTTTTTTAGTTTTAGTTTTTTTCTTTTCGCTTTTAAAGGATTTTAATTTTTTTTTTTTCATATTAGATTACTTTTGGTATGGATGTTCAAAAAGGAAATAATTCTGAATTTGACTACATTTCCCTTACGTAAGACTCACTAAGAGTAATTCAATAACACCACGACCGTGTCAGATAGTAATAATAAAAAAACACATTGGGTGCAATTACATATTTTATCAAATCAGTTGTATAACAATTATTGTTTTATTGAATAAAACAATAAAAAGCAATGTAGTAAACTCAAAAGTATCAGTTATTTAACTAAAAAAAACTAAATATAATAGTACCTTATAAAAATAAAATTTATTTATCTGATGTCCACTTTTTCGCTAAAAAAGTGGCATACCCTTATGAAAGTCCCCAAATTATTATCGCGAAAAAGTTTGTTATTAAGAGAAGGGACCAAAGTATTTTTTAATTATTTTTTTAAAATTTTTTTATTTCTTATTAGCACGTTTGAAATTTTGGTTGAAAATTCTTTTTTTCTTTTAGCGCCTTTTTCAGTTGTACAAATTCTTGCAAAAAAATCAAATAACTGTCGGATTTTAATGAAACTGACAGAACTTAAAAATTCATTTATTATTTTAGAAATTTTTTTTTTTTTTTTATAGAATGTCATCATGAAAACTTAAAAAAAAAAACTCGAAACTGAATGTGTGTTTTTTAAATGCAGAAGACCTTGAAGAATAAATCATCGATTTTTTTTTTTTTTTTTTGTAAAGAATTAAAAATACTCATACTTTAGCTCTGAATTGTAAAATACAAAAGTAAAACTCAATAAAACTAAGACATTAATTAAAAAAAGCCTTTGGGTTTTATGAATAAGGACTTTTTGTTTGAAGCCTTTTTTTTTTTTTTTTTTTTTTTTAAATGAAAAATGTGAAAAACTTGATAAATGTTTTAAATTAAGTTTGAAACTTAATGACTCTAGAAATGACCTTATTAAAAAGGTCTATTTTTACAGATCATAAATTAGAAAGCTTACTACAATCCGTTATATATGGATCTATTTTTAAAATAATTTTTTATGCCAAAAAAAATGTATTAAAAAAAATCATATCCAAGAAAACTATGGAAGCACATTACTGAAAAATGTGTGTGAATGATCATTAATGGCGCATTTTAAAAATTTTTCTTAAAGAAATTTTATTTCATGTTTCATTTATTAAATGTAATGGTATTTTATATAATTTTTATATTGTCTCAGAAAAAAAATTTCATAACTGAGACAATATAAAACTTAAAAAATACTATAAAATTTTAAATAGATGTACGTAACAATTATGTTTGTCTATTATAAAATTTGAATTCTAAATGTATTTTTTCATAGTTTAAATGTTATTTTCCCCCCAATTTTTTTATTTTTTATTTGTCTATAAAAAGGTTCACTTAAAAAAAATTAGCTCAAATTTTGTCACTACCATCAGATAAATTCCTTTGACGTCAGTTGTTGATACATTGATGTCAATTCACACCTCTCAAAACAAAACCAATCACAACAGTTGGACATGTCTCTCTTAAAGATTTTTATGCTAAAAAAGTAATTTTTTTTTTTTTTTTTTTTTTAAATTACATTAAGTATACTTTAAATTTTCTAATTTTTCTAAAATAATTTTTGAAAAAAAGTATTTGTATAATTTATAAAATTTTTAAATGGGGAATTTCACTTTTGTTTATAAAACCGTTAATAAGGGTTGACATAATAGATTTTACGTTAATTTTGATGACTCAAAGAAAAGATTTTTAGCTAAAATTCAGGATGTACGAGAAAAGGATTAAAAAATTTTAAAAAAATACTCAAATGCTTTGGTCTTTTCTCTTA